GGGGGGGGGGGGGGGGTGCTCTGCTGCCATTTTCACCAATTATTGCACATGCAGCATCATCCTTCTTCAGAGGGGTTCTAGCCGTCCCCATTCTGTCCAAAACCAATAAAAAAAAGCTGTGGGTATCACTTTAACCATGAAGGCATGTCACGGCTTCCATTCACCTGCAGCCTGACCGATGGGTACATACATTTACATCAGTAGGCACTACCTTACTCCCGTGTACAATGCAGATAAGCATGATATGGAAATATGCCGTTTTTAACCATGTAAAGTGCACATTTTGTTAACACTGCTCTTATTTTTACACTGAAGCATGTTTGTGGTGTTTGTATTCCATTTGCACACATTTAATTCACAGTACACCAAAATAAAGTGTAATGTTTCCTATGATTAATGACACCATGCTTCTGTGTGTAAATTCGCTCCAACAAGAGCTCAGATCACAACCATTCATGGGCGCACTGGCCACCCGAGTGTGTTTGTTTTCTCAATCACTGTTTATATGATGGCGATATGTAGGCGGTTAATTTGTTGCAAAGTTTCTTATCTGGAGATCCTGCCAGTTACAGGACTTCTTGTTTCAGGATGACAACGCTAATCTTCTGGTTCTCAATTAGCAGCAGCCTGTCTTCTGAACTCCTTCAGTTGTCCATTGGATTGCCAATCAGGCCTATTAGATAGGCATTTTAATGGACAGGCTGACAATGCTGCTGCTAATTTACAAGGCAGTGGCTTAGTGTTGTCAGCCTGTAACAGGAAGGGATGTTACTGGCAGGTAAGAAACTTTGCAGCTTCACAAGTCATGCTGCCAAACATACTGAGAAAGTGGATTTACGGTTTACATACACTTTATTGTAAAGCTGTCTTGGGGTAAATAATGTAAACTACGGTGAGTGTTGTAGAGCAAGAACCATAGGGTGTCACAGCATACCTTTATTCTGATGGCTCAGTCCAATCTGCTATTACATTAAAGAGCTACAGGAAAGAAAACTTCCAGGTATTGAGAAAATGGGCATGACCCTCCAACAACAAAGCGCTCGGCAGGGCGGTCTCTTCCTCTCACGCCGCTTGAGGCCGTTGAGAGGGTGGGGGGGTCTTCTGTGCTACTGTTGCTGGTCGTCCGGGGAAATACTACTGATTGTCCAGATGTGTCCAGGCCCGTTTCACACAGGTAACTGACGTCACTGGTTGCCAGGAGCTCGGCGGGACACCATCCAGAGCATCCTGTGCAGCTCCCTGGCAACCAATGACGTCAGTAAGCTGGGCGGGATGCCGGACAGAGCCTCAAAGGCTGCTAACAACTCTTAACCTGGGACGCTGTTCCAACCACCTAAGGCTGTTTCATTATAGGGACGACCCTGGTGCTCGTTGCCTAAGCAATCAGTCCCTAGACCTGAACATTGCCAGTAGGCGTAAGCCGAGGGCATGCCTAATCCTATGTCAACATCGCTTTCAGAAAGTAGGGATCTAGTGATGTGTGGGTGTTTTGTGGTGTCATATCATAGTAGATCCTATGGTGTGTGCTGTAAAACACTAGCATTAGTTTGTTATTTGATGAACAGACGGGTCAATATAATGTAAATGGCTGCCTCTTGTGATGTTCATGCATACCTTCCATCCTATCAAGTAAATAAGGCCACGTGTAAGCTTCAAGTCGCCTTGGTCAGAGGTATGTGAGGGCTAAAGACTCTTTCCTCGTCCTTTGCATGTCTCAAGCATCTGGGTTCTCAGTCAGCCAGTACTGCATTGTAGGAGAATATACCGGGTATTTCTCTTTATTCCGAACAGAAACAAAGCAAAGATCGAAATAATAGGAGGTGGATAGGGGGTTGGAAAGACACCAACGTGAACCTGTTGCTTTGTGCTGCATGGTTAACGCATCATCATGTGTTAAGGTGTGTAGCGTTAAGGCAGCCCATCATTTTGAATGCCCTGGCAGAGCACATTAATGCACACAAAAATGGGGATATAACCCCTTTTTTTTTCCTAATGCAATGTACCACAATGCACAGCATGTGCATTTTGGTGCAATGCAATGCAAGTGTGTTGCCCACTACTGCAATGAATTGGGTGCCATTAAAAATAAATAGCACCACAGCCCACTCCACCACAGTACGGGCATCAGCATGTGTTGCTTAATGGACATTAAAAAGCGCATTTACTGAATGCCACTGCAACTCATAAATATGAAAGTGCCATAAATATAGTCTGCATATGGCTAGCACCATACTAAGCCAACAACAAAGAATATTTTCCCCACGTGGAATTTATTAAATTTAAAGTGTGTTAACATTCAGGGGAATTCCTTTACAGCAGTTTATCCACAGTTACTATGTGAAGCAACACTGTGAAGCACTGTAGCATATAACATCCTTTAATTTTCTAAGCAGCTAATCTTCGTCTGAGCTACATGGCGATAAACGATGCAGTGCTTTTGGATCGGAGAGGGTATTAATTTAAGCTCATCAGTTGACAGCCTGATGCACAGTAGGAGCTTGACAGACAGCAGTGTTTGTAGTTGCCGGTAGAGTGAAGTAGCAGAAAATCGGGACCATGCTCTGAAGGGATGAAAAACCAGTCTATGTCACAAAATGTCACCTGCTTTATTGTGAACTTTCAAATTTGAAATTGATGGCATGTGTAAAGCCAGTTCAGATCATAACAGGAAGAACAACACTAAGGATATGTGCAGATGTCATTTGTCAGGAGTGTTTGCTATTATACATTGCATTCACCATGTGGTTCCTGAAAACTGGCTACTGTGATTTCTGGTGCAATTGTCAGTTCCCTGGACTATTTTTTTTTACCTGCTATCAGCTTCCTAAAAACAATTAAGAAATAAACATTTCCAGTTTTAAGATTGGGGTTTCGCTTTCCCACTCCCCAACTACAGCGCACTGGGTAGACAACCACTGGGCTGCAGAAATTGCCGGATCTGGGTCTGTGTGTCAAGGGAAGCCTACTGCCCCAATGCAAAATTGCTGGGTCTGTGTGTCAACGGAAGCCTACTGCAAAGTTTGTCAGATGAATGTGTTCTGTCAAGAGAGCCTCCCTTTACTTCCCAAGCATTTGATTATGCAATCTATGTATTATGCTGTAAAGAAGTGCTTTTACATTGGGACAGTTAATGGTGACTCAAATAGGAGAGGCAAATTTACAAACAATGTTAGTACCAGGGCCCCATTGTCTTTAGGATAAGGTCAGGCCATATAGTAAGATTAAATTTGTCTGCTGAAACAACTTAGACTTGTATAACTAGTATGATAACGCTTTTGTGGCTTGTTTAGTCCAAGGACATTGTCATGCATTTTGCTGGATTTCCAATAGAACAAAATGTATAGGCATTAGAAATGATATTGTTTTCAACAGGCCCTGTTCATATAATGATTATTCATGAATACAGAATACATTCATTTGAACCTTTTATATATGCCTGGAGTTTAATAATCCAGCATAAAAATGTGTATCTGTACTGGAGATTACCTTAGTGCCTGTTATCTCAGGGAATATTAGCCTACTGGATGACATTTCCAATATAAGCAGTAGACTTCTCTGCTTGGGGTACACATTGGAAGGTTGGGGCTTCCACAATGTAATCTTTAAAAGTACCTAGAGTAGATGATTGGGAATCAGTATTGAGTGGCCACCAGGGGGTCTATGGGCACCCTCACAGCTCATTTACCATTCTAGCTAGTAGATCTGAATGAGAAGGAGGTCTGTTGGCCAGGATGGATTTTCTTGACCAGCAGCTCTTGTTCACTATAAAAAGAAGAGCACTACAGGTGCACACACATACGTACTCATGTAATGCAAGTGTGCTGAAATCTGATCAAGAATGGTAATTTCAAGTAAATGGTCAACATCTGTCTAATGTCTGTGGACAGATTTTGTGATGCATCTGTCAAGAAAACCTTGAGATGCCATTGCTGTCCTGCAGGTTCTACTGCTGTAACCATCACCTTTGTGTCACTTGGGTTTCCTCAAGGGCTCTAGTTTACTCCCGAAATTGGCCTGTGTGTGTGTATACAAGGGGATAGAGATAAGGCAATCCATTCACAAGTGAGAAACCTTATGTCAGGACTGGATGGTTTGCTTCAAATGTAGAACAAGTTCGGGCAAACTAGCCATTCCATTTGTGTGGAGCAGTTTACTCAGTCACCAGGTAAAGTGTTCCAATGGACTGCTAGTGACAGGAGGACAGAATCTAATAAGGAAGTATACCATTTGCTTTTTTGGCGAATTACCTGACAGGAGGTGGAGATTCTCACTCCAAACCCCCCTACAGCAGTAAAAGTAAGATCCCCTTAGGTATCTCTTGGGTGGGGCCCACAGCAAACTGTTCATTTAGTGAATTAAGTACAGTAGACCTTTTGACTATTTTCACCAGTTCCCCAATAAACCAAATAAAATCGAATTTTCCCCCAGTGGACTGGTAAAATGTTATACAAAAGTTCATACAATAAATCTCATCAGAACATGCAATAATGCCATCTTGTAGAATGTTGTTTGAAATTTAATTTGATGTTAACATTTGGTTTTGGAATGAATGGGGTTTCTCCAATGAAACAT